CCCCAAAACCCCAAAACCCCAAAACCCCGGAAAGGCAATTTTGAGTAAAATTTTAGACTTAAAATTTTATAAAAGTGCATATACAATCATAATATTACAGAAAGTTCTCTTTCATCATTTAAACTCTTACATTTTCTTCACATGAATTATCTCTTCCACTTATCGTCGTTGAACTCAAAGAGTCCTGGCTAGTTGCTATTGAGGAAGCTTTCTTAAGAGGGCGGATCATTATTATGAAACGAAAGATTCCCCGCCTAGTTTGCATTTGATGCAGGCTGAAAAAAATCTTGATGCTGAATTTGAGCCTAATCTAGAGATGAGATCAATGGAGATGGCTCTTCCAAAGCCCTGAGTCTTCCAATAGCAGTGTTAGCTGTACTTGTAACCATGAAATTTTCATTTATATAGGCATCAGCTATGTTTCCATAACTTAGATTTGAATTGAAAAAGTTTTTACTGGGACTTTCGAAGGTAAATAATTGTTAGTTGTAGGAGGGTTGATGATAAATTTGGCTAGATTACATTTGATTATTTTTCAAAATTTAAAACTCATCACGACCTTAGTCAAATTAATCAATCAGTTCAGGCTCAATCTAGGAGCTATTTACAATAAAAGGAGCACTCTCCATAGAATGACGAGCTTGCTGGCCATAATGAGACTCTCTTTAAACAGCTCCGACCTCTTTATATTATTAATATTGTATGTTTTTAGCAATTTAATTTCTGGCATTTCATTTTCAAGGAGTAAGGATAAGAATTTCAGGTTTTTCTTCAATTGGCTTAAGCTAATCAGGCTAAGGAATTTGCCCTTTTTTTCTTTTGCCTCTTGTACTTTATCTTTGCTGCTTTTTCTCATCATCGAATCGTTTTCTATCTGAATCAGACATCACCTTATACTATGCTTTTTGGTCATCAGCCAATCTATTCCATTATTGTGAGACTACTCTCATAATTTGTTTCGTTGACCAACCGGGGTGAATCTGTTTAAGGATCTTACGTCTCTATAAATAAACATGAAAAAACTCACTGAATATACTTCTTAGCTAAAGAAAATGTAGGGAGAGAGGGGCCTTTTCGGGGGAATGGGTTTATCATTGAATTCAGGTTCTACTTCGTTTTTGATTTATTCCTCAACTACTTATTACACTATATCTTTTTAAGGATCGGTGAATTTTTGCTTTGGATTAGGTTTTGTGATGCTTTTTCTATCTTTTACAGCCTTTGAAATTTGATTGTTATTCTTAAGTGATACAGGAACTTTTAATCTTTATCTACTCCTGCCCTTAGTCCAATTGGAAGCCTTTGAATAATGAGATTCCTAAGAGCTTTCACTATAGTGGCTTAAAGATCCCGACTAAGATCTAGATTTGATATCACCAAGTTAAAAATCTGATAGGATCAATCTGTTGCCTTCTCCATAGTCATCTTTTTCTTCCTCATCTTAAAGCAAGGGATAGTTGTTAACGGGGTTGATCATATAAAGATTCTGAGGCCTATATTGATAGCTAGTCTAGTTATGTTGACCTAAATATTACTCCGTCCGATTCATCTAATGCTCATCCATTCCGAATACTTATTGCTAGCAATATTAATTGGATTATAGAGCTAATTTATTAAATTCGATAAATTAAAAGGTCCAAGTAGCTCTATCTTGATTATTATTTGTTATTTTTAAAACTTTGGACTTTTTTCAACCCCAAGGGGTTTTGGGGTTTTGGGGTTTTGGGGTTTTGGGG